AAAAGTGGATCCATGGGAGTTAAGTGAACTTGAAGTTTCACAATGTGGGTTAATATCAAGTTTGGTCTCAAGATATGCTCTCCTGAAATGTCTACATATAATGAGTGGTATAATACCATTTTGCCGGCTTCTATGAAATATAGTGAAGAGCATAAGGTAACCCACAAAATATATCTAGCATTATACGATGTATGTTTTGCCTGAGATAAACTGCTAGAAAGATGCCTAAATATATGAATAAATTCTAGTTTATATTAATTAATTCAGCATTTGTTAACAACTAACCCCCAGAGTTTACACGTTAAAATGAGTCAAAGTGTGCCAACATTGAAACCCCACTACAAAAATGATGTACTCGGACCCCAGAAGTGGCTCCATATATACGTAAATCCTTGTTCAAAAATATTATGGCACATTTCCCGACATTAGGGGGAGATTGTGACACTTCAAAAAATTTAAATAAAAATAAAAATAATTTTTAGTCAGATAAAATATTACGAAAATTACATTTTAATAATTATTTGAGTCAGACAAAAATTCAACAGTTGTAACATTCCAATCAGATAAAATTTTCAAAATTTATGACGTTTTAGTCAGATAAAAATACTTCAGTAATAAGAACAACATTTTAGTAAACAAGTGAACCAGACAGAAAATTTACATTTACGACATTTTTAGTCTGATAAAAATGGCTCGATAATAGATGTAACGTATAAAATAATACGGAGGGACTGTACAATAATACACGGTATAATTTTCTAAACCTAAACTAAAAACTACCTAGATACGTAGTAGTATATAACTAGTTAACTACACGTAATACTAATTATACTCAAATACTAACCTACGTATAAGGAGTATACTCCTACATACGTACATTAGTTATACTAAACCACGTAATACTAATTATATAACAATTATACTCCTAATACTCATAAAGGTGCAAAAGAATCAAAATTTAACTCCAACTCTAACATCTCAGCCTAAAACCCTCATCTTTCCCTACAAATAATAGGCCAGAACCTGCGTTTTCTTCATCCCAAAAAACTAAGAAATATACATATATACGTATATATATATATATATATATATATATATATATATATATATATATATATATATATATATATATATATATATATATATATATATATATATATATATATATATATATATATATATATATATATATTTGCGACCCAGCGTTTTAGCCAGAACCAAGCCTTGAAAATACTTCTCAAACCTTCCCCTTCGTGATACGAATCCAACGGAAAAAGAATCGTCGAAAACGGTCGTGAAACGAGGGAGAAAAGCCTCGCCGGAGTTTCGCCGGAGAAAAACTTTTCGACGGAAAACGGAGAAGAGGGAGGAGCTGCCGCTGCCGCCAACCCACCACCGTCATTCGCCGTCCCAAACGGAGCCAATAGCCGGCCGTTTCGCTCGTCCGACGAGGTAACACCTCCCCCCCCTTAAATTCCCGTTTTTCCGGCGACGTGGTGGAGAAGACGACCCAGCCAAGGCTGGGGTCTGTCTTGGGCCTGATTTTTTTGGGCCAGAATAATTTAATTTGGGGCAGTTCAGCCCAGTTGCAATAAAAATTAAAAATAAAATAGTAAATGAAATAAATAAAATCTGGAAAAATATAAATTAAATACCTAGTATAAATATACATATTCGGACCAACCAGGATTGGAAAATAATATTTTTAGCTATTTTTAATTGATTTAATGGTAATTGGGCCAATTTATACACTTTTAGTAAATAATTAACTAAATGACGAAAATAATTATGAAATAAATATTGGAGTAAACTAGGATAAATATATGAATAACTAGGACCTTATGGACCAATTATAATTAATAAATATTAAGATTTAGTATATTTAATTGTAATTGAACCGGTTAATAGATATATGAAATTAAAGGAATAATTATGGAAAATAATTATAAAATAGATATCTGGACAACCTAGGTAGAATATAGACCCAAAATATATTTATGGACGGTTACTAATTTATAAAGTCGATTCTTAGTCTATTTATTTAAATTAGGCCATATAAGACTAGTTAAGTAATTAAATAAGTAAATATTAATATTAATGATGAAATAAATAAATCACTAAGATTGAAAAATAATATGCTGGACTTAAAATGATGTTTGAATAAAATAAGGAAAATAAATATATTCGGTTATGTAAATAAAGTAATTAGATAATAATTAGAGAGAATTAATGGTGATTATTGAATAAAAATTGGATGTTGTAGTCAATAATATTCGGATATTTTATTTAATATTAGAATTCAAATATTGTAATTAATGGCTGAATTAATAAGGTAATTTGATTAATAAAAAGTGATTAACCAAAGTTTATGCGAATAATAAAATAAAAGGAGAAAATCGGGTAAAGTAATTACAAATAGAATAAGTGACTAATTTATCATATTTAATTAAAAAGGTGATTATCTAGAGACCGGATTAGAGGAGGATAACTAGGAGCAACAGGACTTAAGGTAAGTTTCTCTACCAATCCAAAATTGTTTCCTCGTATTATATGCTTATTATATGCATTATGTGTGAATTGTGAATTTTGTGTATGTGATTTTGAGGAGATATTATATATATGGTAGTTAAGAAGTATAAATCAAGTACTTTTGGGGTATTAAATATTTTTAAATACCTTCGAATTGGTTTTAAGATATTTTGGTCCAGAAGACAATAGCTTCCGCTTATCGTATACTTTCACCTAAACATATTGAGTTGTTGTTGAAGTGGAACAATTAATTGGTCCAGAAGACCATGTGCTATTCTTTTTCCTTAGCCAAGTTTTTGTCCCAAAGGGTTTTTCTTGGCCAAAGGTTTTAAGATATTTTGTGATTTTTAAAGAACCAGAAAGATTCATAACATCCAGAAGACTATTATCCTCTAAAAGAGTGATTCTAATATTAGTTCGAAAGATAGTACCCTGAAGGTCTTAATTGATCCTTGTGAGATCGAACAATTTATTGGTCCGGAAGATCATTTGCAACTGTACTCTTTTTCCTTAACCAAGTTTTGTCCCATAGGGTTTTCTTGGTCAAAGGTTTTAACGAGGCAGTTTGTGACTTTGAAATAACATATTATGATACATAAAATTCGGAGTATTATTTTTCTTCTATAAGAGTAAATTCAAATGCAATCCAGAAGATTATGCCCCGAAGGCGAGTGACTGTACTCTTTTCCTTTACTAAGTTTTTCCCACATGGTTTTCTTAGCTAAAGGTTTTTAATGAGGCAGTCAATCCAACACATCGGTTTACATATATTATGTACTCTTATCCTTGATTGGTTTTTTCCCAAAGGGTTTTTCCAACAAGGTTTTTAATGAGGCATACACATAGTTCAATTTTTGCTACAAGGAGTTGATCATCAGATTATATTGGATTCTACAAGAAGTTTTGAACTGATGCAGTCAACAGGGGAGGGGGAGTATATACGCGGCTTACGCGCTGCACTCTTTTTCCCTTGACCAAGGTTTTGTCCCACTTGGTTTTCCTCGGCAAGGTTTTTAACGAGGCAGTATTACCATAGCGTATAGAGATAATAATGTAAATTTTTCTTGTAATGTATTTTATTTAGCAATGTACATCCAAGGGGGAGTGTTATGTAATATGTGGATGTCCATTAACCCCCAAGCCCATATGTTCTGGCCCATATATAGATGGCTATATGTGAATGAATGATATGTTTTTGATCTTGTTTATTACAGATATAAACTCTTTAATCTTTCTCGAACCAAAAACCTTTTTCTATTACTCACAATAACTGTATTTAAGATTAAGAAAAATATTTAAACGCTTGATGGGTTTATTTGTGACAATTTAGGCAATGTGTGGGTATGTCAGGATTTTTTTTTGTGAACTGACAACTTGATTTTGTAGAGAAGGCTATTCTAGGAGAACATGAGTTTTTTTCTTTTGTATATAAACTCTTTTTTTTGTTCTCCGTAATTATATATCTAGATTGTCAGAAATGAGGAGAATCCGACAATAGAGTGATTTGGAGTTGGGATGAAACTTTTATTTTGAATTTGCACTCTATGCACATTTGTATGGATTAGCGAGACGAAATTGCCACAACCTCGAAGCCTCAATCGCCGCCCTAGCCACCTGTGCTTAGTTCAAAATGCTGCTGCCTCGAAGGCCCACCCATACCGCCGCATCACGTTCGGACAGAAGGAGTAGAATAAGAGATGTGCAGGTGAGAGCAGTTGATGAAGGCGACGTCAGTGTCAAAGGTGACGACGTCGGTGTTGAAGATGGCGACGATGGTGTTGTGCGTAGGTGAGAGTGCTAGTGAGTAGTCTCTAAATGAGGAAGTGAAGTGGACACAAATGAGAGACGCGTTGGCTGTGCGGAGAGATAGTATTCGGGATTTTTGGGAAAATACAAAATGGTCATACTTCTCGAATCTGAAAAGCCATATGTAAGAAATGGGTCATTATTTCAAGAGTAGAATAGGAAGAGTTACTCCTATTTTCAAAAAACTCATACAGAGTATCTTTGTAGTTTTGTTTTAATTTAGTCCAAAGAAATCGGGTTAAATGTATCAAACTCCCTCGTGAAATATAAATTCGACGCATTAGCCCTATGTGATTTAAAAAATGCATCAAATCCCATGTGTGTTTAATTAATCATGCGCGAAATCCCCTTCAAGAACAAATTTTACAATTTTGAAATCACTTTTTTTAATAATATGGTTGAATATGCAAGTAACTTTGTCAATTTTTCTAAATTATACAAAAAACTAATCATTTTTCATTTTTTTTGAAATTAAATTTGTTCTTGAAGGGGGTTTTGTGCATGATGAATGATAACACAGGGGGTTTGACGTATGTTTTAAATCACAAGGAGCTAATGCGTCGAATTTATATTTATGAGAGGGTTTGGTGTATTAAACACCAAAGAAATCCGACTAAAACAATAACTGCAAGTCTGCAACGTATGCAGGGGTTACACGTTCCTCACGACCTGCGTACGGGTTACCAAACGAAGCAAACGAACTACCACAGAAAAACAAAAGAGAGAGGGAGAGCGCGCGTCGCCGGAAGAAGAGATTCACGACTTGCCTGAGTGTCACCTCAGGCAGGGGCAGATTGGGCTTAAGGTGAGGGAGGGCTTAGGCCCAATCTCAATTTTTAAAAAATCAGACCCAGTCCAATTTAGAAGTCCAAAACGCAAGGCGGTAGCAGTCCGCTTCGTCCTTTCTTTCTGCGCGACTTCGGCGACTTCCGCAAAACCCCAAACGCGCAGGGAAGAGTCCCAGTGTAGCACTGTAGTCTGTAGCAGTCCGCTTCTTCCTTTCCGGACGACCATCTTCGGTCGCTGCCGCCTGCCGGACGGCCACTCGGCCAGGACGGCGCACCAGGGGCTTAGGCAGTCAGCCACTCGGCCAGGACGGCGCACCAGGGGCTTAGGCAGTCAGCCACTCGGCCAGGCCGGCGCACCAGGGGCTAAGTCCAAGCTGTCCAGCTTATTAGCTTAAGAGGTATTGTTTTAATTTTTTAATTTTATTGTGTTTTGAATTCCAGTTAAAGATTAAATTGCAGCTTTGCTTGATATGAATTTGATTATTATCTGTAAACTTACAAATTGTAATCATCATTTATAGTATGAATTTGCTTGTGACTTGTTCTTATTAATTATAAACTCAAAGAGAATGTTTTTATATTTCTGAACACTGATTTACAATGGATGATGAAGCTATATATACATCAATAATGAAACTGACTAAGCTAAACTAACTCCTGAATATTAGGCACTATCTGTACATTATAGGTTGAGAAACTGATCCCATAAGATCAGGACAAATATGTTGACTAAGCCAACTTATGAGGTGTCTGCTATTCGGTTATTACCCCTGGCAAGCTCAAGGGCAGGTTGAACGTAGAGCTTGGAACGAAGTTGAATAAACCGATCTTTACTCAATGACTTTGTGAATATGTCGGCAACCTGATCCACAGAAGAAACATGATTGATGTGTAGAGTACCGGCTTCTAGCTGCTCCCTTACAAAATGAAAATCAAGTGCAATGTGTTTGGAGCGTGAGCTAATGACAGGATTCCGGGACAAGAAAGTGGCTCCTATATTGTCACAGAGAAGTGTAGGAGGCTGTTGGATTGGAGCTTGAAGGTCACGTAAGAGCTGTTGAATCCATAGAAGTTCAGCAGAAGTGTAGGCGAGAGCACGATACTCCGCTTCAGTGCTTGAACGGGCCACCTGTAATACCCGAGATTAATTTAAGAGGATTAATAGTACTACTCATACCAACAGAGGTGCATCTCCTTTTAAGGGAGCTCATCACCCAAGAACTCCAAAGTTAAGCGTGCTTGCACGGGAGTAGTCTTGGGATGGGTGACCCCCTGGGAAGTTTCTCAGGGCGCGCATGAGTGAGGACAAAGTGCGCGGTAAAGGCTCGTGGTGGTTTGTGAGGACAGTACTATTGGTCTAGAGTAGCTACCTCAGGTCCTGCGAGGCCGGGGTGTTACAAATGGTATCAGAGCAACCCTGCGACAGTGTGTTGACCCGTTGGATATCGGGCGGGCACTTAGCGGGGCAAGATTCTGGGGTTTGATTGAGATTGGTTTAAGGGCGCAACGAGGACGTTGCGATCCTAAGTGGGGGTGATTGTAATACCCGAGATTAATTTAAGAGGATTAATAGTACTACTCATACCAACAGAGGTGCATCTCCTTTTAAGGGAGCTCATCACCCAAGAACTCCAAAGTTAAGCGTGCTTGCACGGGAGTAGTCTTGGGATGGGTGACCCCCTGGGAAGTTTCTCAGGGCGCGCATGAGTGAGGACAAAGTGCGCGGTAAAGGCTCGTGGTGGTTTGTGAGGACAGTACTATTGGTCTAGAGTAGCTACCTCAGGTCCTGCGAGGCCGGGGTGTTACACCACCACATGCTGTTTTCGAGAAGTCCAACTGATCAGATTTGAGCCATGAAATACAGCAAACCGATATTGTGATCTGCTGTCATCCTTGTCAGAAATCCATCCAGCATCGGAATAAGTCAAGAGAGACAAGGCTTTGGTTGGTTTAAAATGCAGGCAGTAATGCATAGTTCCATTTAAGTAACGCAGAATTCTTTTAACAGCTTGCCAATGTGATATGGTAGGTGTATGCATGTATTGACAAACCCTATTAGCCGCATAAGCAATGTCGGGACGAGTGATAGTAGCATATTGAAGAGAGCCGACCACCTGCCTATATAGTTTAGGATCAGAAAAAGGTTCTCCATCAAAGCGGAGTGAGGTAGATGGATCTGACGGTGTTGAAAGGGGCTTGGAATCAATCATCTTGCTACGAACCAGAATACCATGAATGTACCCGTGCTGAGATAGCGTAAGGCTACTGGTCGTGCGAACAATTTGTATGCCCAGAAAATAATTTAAGTCACCAATATCTTTGAGAGAGAAAGTTTGATGTAGATTAGTAATAAATCGTTGCAGAAGCTGAGGATTGTCTCCTGTAATGATCAGGTCATCAACATACACTAAAATATACATGGTGGTAATGGTAGAATAGTGAACAAAGAGCGATGTATCGGATTGACACCCGTGCTACCACCACCTTTCTTCCATAAAATAGAGCAAGATATGACCCATAGTGAACATCGCGTCCAAAATTGCATGGATTGACCATTCTTCATAACAAAGAAGCGCAAACCGTTTAGTGAGCCATTTTGTTTTATTCTATCATATTCTCAAGCCAAAAAATAGTGAATCTTTGGCTCCATTGCAAATGATGGAAACCATATTTTAAATATATACAAAAGGAAAAACCCCTGGTCACAATCTTGCAGTTCAGGTGTAGAAATGAAAAGAAAAAAACCTCACTGTCAAAATTACTCCACTGCATTCAATTTTGGGGGCAAGAAAAGAAAACGAAAGATAATTTCATTCCAAAATTTTTGCAGCCCTTATGTGGATTTTGTATATTTGTATTAGTCTCTGCTTATGGGTACGGCCATGTTGAAGATCAAATAATAATTCACAAGTTAGTTGGACTGAAAATTGAATAGTACGTAGTAATGAGTATTGACTTGGGTTGTCAAATTTGAATCATTCCTCTTGGAGGAATCGTTCTTACTCGAAGATTGACTAGAGAATACTACCTACATCGTGGGAAGAACTTACATTGTTAGAAAAGTACATGGCCACTCAACCTGGCGTGAAGAATTTTAACAACCCTTTAAAGATGGACATTACATTATATTGCTAAAATGTGCGATCATCCATATGATGAGAATGGAAAAGACAAAGTAGTGAATGAGAATAGATGTAGCTGCTAGTTACGTATAGTATGTGTGCACGTCCTGGACCATCAGCGAGTCGTAGTAGTAGTCATCGACTCATCGTTATTAGTCGCCGCTGCTGCCACCGTACTGCTACAACACATGAAGCTTTCATCTGCTGCTGGCGGGGCATTTCCAAGAGCATCCAAGAAGGCCAGATTGTTGCCGTCCCCGAGTGTGGTGGTGAAACAAGCTGCTGCTGCGGCGGCTGCCTGACCATCTCCCTGCCGCTGCATGGGTGTGTGAACCGGAGGCGGCGGCGGCCACCCATTAAAGCCGGCGCCGCAGCAGGTGCAAGGTGCGGTCTCTAGCCCTAAATGGTCCGGCGGGTCGAAGGGGAACCACGCAGCTGGATCTTGCAGCATCGGGATTGAGGTCCATTCCCACTTGGGCTCACACGAACATGACTCTTCTTCATCACATCCCAACTTCATCATTGCAGCTTCATCACCTGCTGCCTCCTCTTCCTTAAGGGCGGCGGTGGTAGTGGTAGAAGAGCGGGATTTGGGGGTGGAATTGACTGGCAAATTTCTTCCCCCTGCTGCTCGAGAAATTCTTGACGTCGTTATCGGTTCTCCCGCGCAAGTAGGTGTCTATTTTGGCCCATTTGTTCCCGAACTGTCCCTGAAGGTCAATCACAATCCTCTCCTCCTCGGTGGAGAACTTGAGACCGGTTTTCAAGTTGGGGCGGAGTTTGTTGACCCAGCGGAGGCAGCAGGACTTGCCGGTGCGTTGAAGGAGGCCTTTGGATCGAATGGAGCTCCTGTGCCTGGGGCCGTATTGCCTGACGTGCTGGACAAGCACCTCATCTTCCTCCGTTTTCCATGGCCCTTTCTTTATCTCCAACAACTCACTCCCTCCTTCCATGCCTTCTCCACTCATCATGCAATATAATACCTGCTCCCTACATACTTTACTATGTATATATATAATATATCCCGACCGGCTCGCTTCCTTGTTTTTCTCCAAATTAAAATGGGTGCATGTCCCACTAACATGCTATTATTACGGAGTAGTTATCCTCTTTGTGTTTTTCTTTATGATCCGAAGGAGATCTTTAGAAATAAGAGGAACTCATTAATATAATATCTTCATTCAAAGAAGTGTAAAGTTGAAAGCTACATACTAAATTTCTGCAACAACCAATCAGCCATGCCATGCATTACATGTAAAAAATATGATAGTAAGTTCCTAAATAAAAAACGAGGAAAATGTCAAATGAGTACATTAAGTAGTACGCAATGAAGTAAAAAGTACATCATATTGTAATTGAGATTCACAAGTACATAAGTTCGGGAAAATATTTTCTGATTCAATACACATTTGAATTTAGATGTTAATATGTCTCACTTAATCACCCAATTAGTAATCGTTTATGTGTTTTTAAATGATTAGTTCACATTGGAATTTAAACGTTAATGTCTCACTAATCACTTAATTAAGAGGTTAGTGATATGACAAAATTAAAACCACACATCCACTTACTATACATTATTATAAACATACAAATCACTTTCCAACTCTCACTTTAGGTAAGCCACGGAACACCATGTCACCGCACCCACCCCCAAGACCCACCGCCAACTCGACTTTTAAAAACACATAAACGATTACTAATTGGGGTTAGATATAAATGGGGATAAAGATGATGCCGACTTAAATTCCACCATTTACCACAAATAGTATACTACTACCTCCGTCCCCTTGTTATTGTCCAATTGTTGTTTACGATGCTTGACTGACGATAAAGCAAACAGTTCCCTGTCCGTACTAGAATTATTTTTAGGAAAAAAAATTGCATATTCAGAAACTACATTAAAAGGTTTACAAAGTCGCAAAAACCAGAATCAAATTTGATAAAAATTTGATAAATAAAGTAAGAGATTAAGAGTTATTTGTGTTGACCAAGTGAATACGAAATGGGACAATAATAGGGGGACGGAGGGAGTAATTACCATATCAACATTTTTAGAGTTAAATTGAATTTGTACTTATTTAACCCTTTTTTCCTGAGTTTATGTACTTGTGAATCTCAGTTGCAATATAATTTGCTCTTTACTCCATTGCATACAACTTAATGTACTCATTTGACACTTTCCTCAATAAAAACTAAGCAGACTACATTTTTTCCCCTTTTCGAGACGAATAAACATATCAATTTATTTTATTTATACAAAAACATATTCTGAT